GGTCCAAGGCGGAGGTGAATTTAGTCTGCAAAGTCTAAGCTGAAAATGTTTTCAGAGATCCATGGCTTCCTGTTTTCTTTTTCCAAGATCTCCAGGCTAGCCACCAGACCTGGTCTGAAGGGTGGGCAGCAGGCTCTCTAGGGCTTTCTAAGTAGGTCAGTGCCATCCACAGTGACTGCTTAGGGCCCTCATGAGCCCTGGGATCCTCTTAGCCACATCTTGCTTAGCATATTCCTTGCACGCAATGATTTGCATAAGGGTGTTTAAAAGAGCCTATCAATCTATGCTCTGAATTCCTTGTTTCTTCTATTAATTAGCAACTCCCTCCCTCCCTTTCCTTCCTTCCCTCCTTCTCCTCCCTCCCTTCCTTTCTTAGTGGGATAAAAGGGCCTTCAATGACCAGCAGGTACAGTTGTAATTTCTGAGTTAGTGCAGTCCAGACAGTCGAGGAAGCATGAAGATGCACCATTCTGCATGCCCACAGCTGAGTTGCAGTGCAAGCAACGCAGCCCATCCCCAAGGTGGTGTGAAAGGAGCAAGGGGGAAGCCCGCTCAGAACAAGGAGCACAAATGTGTATTCATGAAATGAAGCCATGGAGGGCCGTCCTCAAGGCAGCGGCCCCGCATGCTGCCCCCACTCTGGATGGTCCCCAGTCAGAGGGGTTTGTTGGTGGTTTAGAATTGCAGGCTTTTTGCTTTCTTTTAAACACCCCCCTCCCCCCACTATACAGTCACTGTGATGAATGAGTGAATGAACGCACAAATGGGAAGTGCCTTACACCAGCTGTGCATCTTGATAATGAACTTGGCAGTGTGGTGTGATCTCTACTACAGCAGGACTGTTCCAGGTCCAGCAGGGCCCTTGACGTCCCCTTGACCCTCACCCCTGGGCACCGTGCCCCTCGCATCTCACCTGGTGCCCTCCTGAAGGTGTCAAGTGTTATTTATGAGCACGTCTCAGGCCGCCCGTTTTACTGTGAGCTTTCTGATTAATTGCAGAGTGCTCTGCACCCAGTTGTTGCTCAGATGTGTGTTGAATAAATAAGCGTGAGTCCTCATTTAGAGCTAAACTGCACATGGGGGCGGATGTGGCTGGCTTCAGCCAAGAAAATGAGAACCAGATACCCACAGGCCTGTGGAGCCCCCCTGGGGCCCTGGTAGAGTCAGCGTGGGGATCACGGGAATGAGCAGTTTCAGGAGCTGGGGAGCACCTTCCCCACTGAAATTCCATGCCAACACTCGGGGTTCTCTCCCACTCATTCCCTTGTTCCTGCTGCTCCTCCTTCGAGCTTGAAGTGGACAGTTTGAAATCTATCAGTGTACCTCTCCCTGCAAAAGCCCCCCGCCCCCACCCCCAGCTCTCAGGGTGCTCGGGCAGTGGTTTGGTCCAGGGAGAGCCAAGGGCTGGCTCCCTGAGGGCGGGAGGCTTTGCCCACCAGGACATCCCCAGGGCCTGGCTCAGCACCAGACACATAGGAGGCACCCAGTAGACACCTGTTGGATAAAAATCATAAATTCACATGGTGACTCTGCTTCCTGAGAAGGTGGTACTAAGAAGAATTCGACGCTCAGTCTGAGGCAGCCGGGGAGAGCTGCCAGGATCTGGGATGTCTGGGAAGTGGGGGGTCAGGGCCCCTGGGCAGTCCCGCCATCCCTGCTCCGGGTGATGCTGCCAGGACGGCTGGGGGAGGAGGGCCCGGCGAGCCTAAGCTATCGGCTGTGTCCCCGTGTTTGAGAAATTAAGACCGACTCCTGCAAGGAGCAGGCCTTGATTCTGCCCTGCTCTCTGAGTCCCGCCTGCCAGTTCTGGGGACAGCCTCCAGGGTGGACACACACTCCAAAAGGGTTAGAAGTGGTTCTGAAACAGGCAGAACTAAGCGATGATGTCAGCAGCCAGGCTGGTGGTGCCCACGGTGGTGCCCCTGGAAGGTGGTTGGGGGTCTGCAGGAGGTTGGTCACATTCTGGTCATTGACCTGGATGCTGGTTACACCAGTGTGTGTGTTTATGTTGTGAAAATTCATCAAGTTTGACCCCTAGGGTTTATATGCTTTTCAGTATGTGTGCTGAACTGCATGTAAAAGATTATTTTGCCCTAGCCAGTTTGGCTCAGTGGACAGGGCGTTGGCCTGTGGACTGAAGGGTTTTGGGTTCAATTCCAGTCAAGGGGACATAGTTGCAGGCTCAATCCCCTGGTCCCAGTCAGGGCACTAGCTGGAGGCAACCAATTGATGTGTCTCTCTCACATCGATGT